GGAGGCGCCGCGGTCCGCGCCACCTAGTACTTTATACAGCGTGTCCCCAGCCCTGCCCCGCTGTAACGCTGGCACTGCGTATTAGCTTCCACGGTGCTTCACTAAAAACGAAGCGCCCTAGGTCTTACTTTCCAAGGCAGATCTGCTCCCCCTCGCCCTGGGCGCAGCGGGTGCCTTTCTCTACGTTGTTATAATAAGAGATGACTTGAGGTAAAAGTGGAATGCAGTCAAGCCAAACGCATGCAGTGCCCCAGACTGGCATACTCCCCCCCTGCCCTTTTAGAGGGCCTGAACTTGCCACACTTCAGTGAGCAGCTCTTCACCTCCTCCTCACCACCCATCATAGAGCTTTTTAAGTACACTACCCCTTTCTTTCTGTTGCGCAAGCACAACCAACTGCTCAATTCAGGTAAACGTTTTTACAAGGCCGAGTTTCCTCACAGTCGAGGATTTGGCTTCCAAGGAAGAAAGCAGATAAGAAAGGTGGAAAATCTTAACAAAGCAGCTCCAAAACGCCTCACCCCCTAAAACAACTCAGTGTACCCATTCATTTTCAAGTTGTACGTCATCACTACACACCACAGCAAGGCTCTCATTATTAAGATTGATAAAAGCCAAATATGTATGACCTCACCATTAACAGCATTGTTAGCACTACCATCAAAGTTTGGAGTTGCAAGCATTTAAGGAGACAACATTTGCATCACGCACAATCCAGCAGCATCTTGTAATACAGTTCAGTAAAAAGAACATTTTATTATTACCTAACACACACTCCCAACAACCAAACAGATCCAAGGGGTCTTGGCTCTTCAATACAAAACAACCATCTTAAAGTTTTATTATGAAGGCCATACAGGTTTTCAGTAGAAAGATGGCTGTATAAATACAACTCCTGAGAATTCACCTGAAAAGCAAAGCAGGATGTTATTTCAGTTTGGAACCACACGTAAATTACCCTTATACTACAGTCCTACTTCTTTCCTTAGGAGCAACCAAGCCACAAAACAGTTTGGCAATTTCTGTTTACACACTGCTTCTTAATTTGTCTTTCCTGCCTCACCCCTTCTTTGGAGGGAATGATGATTCTTTGACACTTCCTTCACGATTCCTTCACTTCCTGAATCACTTGCTCTAGAGTCCTCTGAGATTTCCTCTTCTGAAATCTAGATACTTGTTTCAAACCTAACTTTATTTAGTCTTCCTTTTATTTTCAATGGAATTTACACAATTCAAGGTTATTTTATGCAATTCATTTAAGTCCAAAGAACATTTAACACAGTTCAAGTACACATAACATTCACATGAGAGAGTCATGAAAACAAGGTTAAGCACGACTTAAAAGCTAATACAATACCACTGAATTTAGAAGACTGATATATACTCTGACTACAATTTAAGCCACAACTTGAGAAATATATTACTGGAAGGTACAACGTACAAAATTTAGTGTCACATTAAAGTGTAAAATTTCAAAATCTTAAAACACAAATAAAAGTATGCATTTGTACACAAAAGAATTTACAGAGCAAAGTTAACAGAAATATTGTTATATAGAACTGCAATATAAAGTCACCATATCTTCAGCTCACATCACCGGGCATCAAAAACCACCACTGTATAACAGTACAGTTAAAGGAGAAAAAAAGTGACATGGGAAAAAAATACCAGAGAAATGAAGAGGGGGGAGGGGAAGAGAGATTGAATAAGTCTAAAGTTACAAGAAATCTCACAAAAGCATTTATTAGTTTTAAATAATTTAATGATATAAATTTAATTTATAAAATTTATTAAAATTATTGAATTATTATAATGAGATAATTTTTAATTAACCCTACAACACTTTCCTTTTGTTTAAAGGACATATTACATCAACCATTTGCACTATAGCACCCAGAAAACTACCATGGCTTATTATATTTTGCATTAAAAGAGAAGAAGAGGGAAAGCATCTGGGAAGAAAACAAGGCCTCCACTACATTGTGGAGATTTCCCTAAAAATTTGCTCTACTGTATTGATTCTATGGCCTTGAAAAATTCTTACCTATAACAAAAACACAATGAAAAGTTGGGAAAAATATTTCTTGCCTCCACCTACAAGTTCCAAAATGCATTCAAGTGCATAGGTAAAAGGATACATCTTTTTGTCCTTTTCTTGTACATTATTCTGTACCCACACTCTCGGCACCTGATAGGATCTCTTGCCTTTATTTCATTTTCTGTATGACATTCTGTTGTGATCGAGGAAGAGAAAGGAAGTGGGGGAAAAATAAAAAGTATTGTTAAAGCAAATATACAAATTCTATAAGTCATAACACTCACATTCCTATCTGTGGCAAAAAAAATAATTTTTGTTCTGCTAAGAGCTGAACAATTAAGATTCCGTGCACAGGACATGACTGGCAAACTTCACTTAATTTATTAAGATCTGAGAATCTTGCTATAATCACCAAATCACTACAGCAAAGAATACATTCCACTCTTGATACCACTAGAGCGTCTACTAATGAAAGCTTTAATGCAATCCCCCAAATCCCCACACTTATTTTCTTAAAAGAGATAAAATATTTCATAGACGCGTCTCTGAACGTGACTACTGAAAAACCTAGATTTTAACAGTGTTTTAGCCTGTCTACAGTTAGAGAAAGTTTGAATCCCACACTTCAGTATTACCAAAAATACTGTCTCCAAATTTGACTAGAAAGTCCACAAAGGTCTACTTGTGAAAATCCGCATCACAAGCGGACGCTTAGAGAAAGTGCCCGCCAGGTGGGACCTCTACACAGCAGCAGACGTTCTCTTGAATTACTCCTACGCCACTCTATCATCAGTGCAGAAAGCCTAACAGACCATTCAGGTCCACTATCCTCCTACTGACATAATGATTATCTACTCTCCATTATTAAAATATGAAATCCCCAAGAATAAGTAGAAAAATTCAGTGATGTCTTCTCTTTACCTCCACAAATGTAAATCATCGGCTGCTGCTTTGGAGGCTGAACATCCTTCTGTGAATCCATGTTCTGCACAAAAAAGCAACACGTGCACACCAGTTATTTTTATTACTTTTTCAAGACATACACCAGCATTTCAATGTCTCCATCTAAAGCTAACAGAAGATGACAGACTTCCTTTAAAGTAAACGCAAACAAATCCTACTTGTATTTGATACACAGGATATCAGATAATTCAGATTGAAAGAGATCTCAGGAAGTCATCTGCTCCAATTTCCTGCTCAAAGCAGGGTCAGACCACATTGCTCAGGGCTTTACCAGTCTGGTATGAAAACCTCCAAGAACAGAGGCTGCAAAACCTCTTCTCTTAAGAGGAATTTTAAAAATTAAAGCTCAGTGAATAATATTTTCTTTCCTCTCACCTGCCAGTGGTAAGATTTTGAATTTTGCTGGAAATAAATCAATGCTAGCTAACCTGATCTGCTCTTTGATCAAAATAAGGGATAGAAATCTGGGGAACAGACTGCAGGCAGAATAATAATAGATTTAAAAAGGGTGGGGGGCACAAGAGAGAGAAAAAAAAAAAAAATCTATCTTCGTTACCCTGAAATAACAGTATATGATTGTTAAACTTAGCAAGAATTTGATACCAAATAATACTTTACCTATTAATGCTTTATTGTAATGGCTTACAGTTCAAACCTGTTTGGAGCCAAATATTCCTTTACAATATCCGACTAAACAGTTACATCTACTCCACAAACATTTACAGAGTTTAAAAATCATCCTGTTCTAAGCTGCTAATATGGTTTCAACCATAAATTTTATGGTTGTTACTGTAATCAGTACAGAGACAGCACACTTTTTTCTCCACTGACTGTAAGTCTAGGCTAGAATGCAAATATCTTTTTGTAGCTGACTGATATCGCCATTTACTGCATTGCTGTTCTCCCTGACATACAGGGCAGGACTTCCCAACTATTATGCAAGTGAATAGCCTTCATATTTTGAGAAGGCTCTCTCATCAGCATGACCCTTAGGGGCCTTTTGGCTTAATATTACAATCAGAACTATTTTCCTAATCTCCCAGTTTGTGCCAGTATAAATGCAACTGTGAAAAACCAGAGTCTTGTAAGCAGGAAGGCAGAATTGACAGAAAGAGTTTATCCTTTGTTTAAGGGGCTCTGATCATTACATAACAACCCCTAAATGCCACTCTGTTCAAGATAACTCTATAACTTTGCAGCAGGGTTTTACTGCACCATAATCATAATGGTAGCTTAATCCACATGCATCACACTGTCTCTTGTTATCACTACATTATGGTAAGATACAGAGAGGATCCCTTGACACTTTAGAGAAGCAGCATTTTCTAAGACAGCGAGGTAGATGAAGAGGATCAACCAGCACACTTACAGATAAATAATTTGAGATGGGTGCCACTCGTGCCCCAAAGTAATATAGCTGCAAGAGAGCAATGACCTAGAGCTAAGCCTAGCGCAGGGAGATGCCATGCTTTAGTTAGCTTTCACATGCCCAGCAGGTATCACTGCAGCCAAAGCAGTAACTGCCCAAGTTACCTACCACAGACACAGAAAGAGTGAGGCACACGGATACGTTAAAGGACAAGCATTACGACTGCAACCCTAACTCACCACAAAGACGCAGAGCCCCAGCCACCGGTGCAGAGAGGCCACCACAGGCACCTGTAAGAGAGGCAAACCCGTCCCTTCACGCCCCCCTCAGAGCCCACCGAGAGGAGAGCAGGCCGCCTCCCTCGCACTCCACCGGGCCCTGGGCCTCAGGCGCCGAGCCAGCCCCAGCCCCGCGCTCAGGCCTTCCCCGGGCGCCCCG